AAAAAAAAAAAAAAAAAATTGACAAAACATGAAAAAAATAATAAAATGGAAATCGCATCTGAAGTCTGTAGACATTAAACACCATCCGAGACATCTTGTTTGTAGCCCTAAAACGGCAACGGATTTGTGTATTGCTGCGAATTTGCCACTGCACGCACAACAATAAGAAATATTAGAACATTGATCAAATGTCTATTCGATTAAACATTAAAAGGCAAAATCAAAGACACACAATCAATTGGGAATAATTTTTTCATGCACGTACAGAGGTTTGTAGACTGTTCATAAAACCATGTTTCCAGTCTGTAATCAATCCAGTACCCGACTAAAATGCACAAGGCTCCCCTTCACAAATCAAAGAAAACAAAAAAACAGGTAATCAGGACTAAACCGTGAAAATTGTGGCAATATCATGTTAAATTCTATCTAAGCATCCACAATGACCAATTTGTCGTCATGTGAATAGAATAGATAAAGACAAACCAACCTCATTATATCCACGTCCACGTCCTCTTTGGCCGAGACACATGCATCCAACGAGGGATCTCGTCTAATAAGAGCCACCCTATCAGCAACTGTTATGCCCTCCAGCACATCATCTGCCAGCATGTGTACATCCAAGAGAAGAGCATAACCCTCAGCAAATTTTTTCACGAAACCTTGGAGAACGTGTTGGTTTTTCAGAAGCTCCATCGCTTTTTGAGCAGGCTTATTTTCATCACAATCACAATCAAGGGCCTCCAGAAGTTGTTTTGCTGATGGGATGAGTTCGGGATGTTCTTTTACGAGGTGCTGGACCATATCCGAGAGCTCCTCCAGCGTCTTCTCCTGCAGCATATAAGGGGCAGTTTCAATGGCACAACCGTAGAATTAAGAAATCGACGATAACTACCAATAAACGATATGAGCATACGCTTTTAAGTATTATGGTAAGAGGAGACAATAGAGTGTTCGAACGCGGCTTCGTATAGTCATGGTCATCATCACCAGGAAAATAGTCATGCTCATAGAGAGGCCCACTTGGCAAAGTGTTGCAAACTTCATCGTCAGGGTTGGAAATTTCATCCGACGAGTCCTCCGGTTTCTGCAATTAATTTATTTGAACTTCTTTTAGATTGAGTTCTCAATCAAGCCCACTGAAGAAATCTTTCGAGTACAGTATTGAATCGAATATCACAACACATCATGCATAACATATCAAGACTTTGCAAATTAAGCTTTTGATTTGCTGACAGCAAGTTGGTTTCAAAATTTGGGAATTCCAATTCATCATCCACGATTACACAATCAAAACACATACGAAATTATTTATCTACAGCTTCAAGGAAGAGTTACTTTCAACCCCAAATCCGACACCGACCGATACCTCCAAGAGTTGATTCAACAACACCAGCAACTAATTTAATCACCATTATCATAACTGTAAAGTAACAGCACTCGCACACATCAGAGTTACGAATAGACAAAGAAAGGTACAGAGAATACCATTGCATCGCCCTTGGGGTTCTCCATGTTCTTAGGGTTTCCTTAAAACAATCGATTGTCCACAGATAGCACCTGCGGGGCATTATTTATAATGCCCTGTAAGCCTCAGACGATGAGGAATCCTATTCCGAATCGAGTACAATCGGGGTCTTCTACCTTTCCATACTTGCAAGCGCTGGTTGTTTGTTCAAACTTTTTTTTTAACAATATGCTAGTATTCGACCTATTATGCATTAGAGCATCTCCAAGAAACTTCTTATTTTAGACTTCTTATTTAGAGAAATAAAGAGTCATCCTATATTCATTTGCTTCCTATTTTTTTTCTGTTGTTCTCCAAGAGTCTCTCTATTTTATAATTTGAATATGAACCAGACCCACAAATCTATCTAAAAGCCCACTTGAAGCCCACTTGATATTGTAATTGTTAACGATTATAATAGTAATTAACTAATTTTATAATATTCACTAATTTTTTTAATTATTATAATTAGTAATTTATTATTTATTATTTTTTTATAATTTTTCCTTTATTAATATAATATTATTTTTTTTAGATTATTATTATTATTATACTAATTGTTATTATAATTTATTAATTTTTAATCAAATAAATTATTTTTTGAACATTTTTTATTTTTTTAATTTTAATTTCAATTATTATTATTAGTAATTTATTATTAATTATTTGTTATATTTTTTCATGTATTAATATAATATTATTTCTTTTTAAATTATTATTATTATTATTATTATTATTATTATTATTATTATTATTATTTGAAATGGGGGTCGTTTTTCCCTCCCCAGAAATAAGGAAGAGAAACCTCTATTTGAGGTCACCCTAAAAATAGGACCAAATTTAGGAGAACTGTTGGAGACAATTTTTTAAAGAAAATCCCTATTTTTGAGATAAAAAATAGAAATAGGGAGGCTATTGGAGATGCTCTTAGCACACTGTAAATAGAATATTATAATTTACATTTATGTATATAGTATTAAAATTATAAGTTATACAACGATATTATTGTAATTTAAATATAGAGTATTATAAGTTATATTTATGCATATAATAATAATAATATAAATTAGGTAATTATATTATGTTTTAAAATTTGGTCATTGGTTAAAACAAATAGTACATAATTATTTGATTGCATATGAACCGCTATATTAATTACATAAAATATAATAAATAATGTAATTTTGAGAGATCGCCAATTATTGGCTTAAAAATATTAAATTTATTATAACATTTCATTATGCAATTTTAAGGAATTTTACTATTGGATTAAAATAAATTAACTTATTTAAAAATACAATCGTTACATAAGATAAAAAAAATATAATATTAATGTTAGAATAAATAACTTCAGCAAAAAGTTTACAATATTTTTTTATGTTTATGTAACTTTTGTATATCATTTAGTTTAAACTATAGTTATTAGTTTTAATAATAACTATTATATGATAAAATAAAAAGAGTGATTATTACTTCGTTAATATAAAATGTAACGGTTTTTTACTAAATTAACCCTAAAAAAAGTGCAGTGAAATAGTTTAGTATTAATTAGATGTGATGGATTAATAATAATAATAATAATAATAATAATAATAATAATAATAATAATAATAATAATAATAATAATAATAATAATAGAAGTTTGTAACATAAAAAGATGGTAAACAATAATCAATACAATTAAATTTATTATTAGTAATTAAATATAGAGAGAGATATAAATTATAAAGTTTGTAACGGTTTTTGGAGGGAAATCGAAATGAGGTTTTATTAAATATTTTATTAAATGCTATTAGCCATTGATTATATATATATATTGATATGGGATATTATCTCCACAAGGTTAAACCGGTCTATCAATCGGTCGAGGAAGTCGTATCATATGGAAATTGAGGAAATTGAGCAGTTAACTAAGTCGACCAACAAATCTGTCGACCAAGCTATTCTTCGACCAGAGGGGCGATCGAGCAGTTCAGTCGGTGTTGACAGGTCGACCACTTCGAGGACTTAGCACTACGTTGATCGGCCTAGTCGCAGGCGCTTGAGATAGTCTCCAACTTGATTTCAGGAGAATATTTACCCCATGTGCAGGGGGGACACGTGTCGAGAAGGCAGTGGTTGATAGCGATAACCACCTCTGACAGCCTACCTCATGTGCAGGAGGACACGCGTCCAGAGGGTATTGGTGCAAGCGATAGTGACGACGGATACCTTTGACACATGCGTATGGTGTGTACGGACGGGCAGTTAGGGCAGACAGCTCATCAAATTCGGACAGCCCTATACTGACTTAAGTTTCGAAGGCTCTTCACCGGAAAACCCCTCCGGTGTGAGAGTTCTTTGTAGGTGCACGACGTTCAACCGGCGAGAAGGAAGGCGATTATTCAAGTTTCCAGCCGGTCAGTAAGTTTTGTGTTACCATATATATATATATATATATATATATATATATATATATATATATAGAGAGAGAGAGAGAGAGAGAGAGAGAGAAGAGATCTTATGAGAAATAATAATAGTGAAAGAAATAAGAATGATTATTCACTATTGGATTCATCAAATCAATAGTGATGATTGAGTTAAAATTAAATAAATAATGATTAAATATGAATGGCAGTATAGTAAATAAGTATAGAAATGTCAATTTTATGTTTTTTTACCACTTTTTAGGGATAAACTAGTTATTACCCATCAACTAAAATCAAATAATAATGTGGACCCCACCATTAATCCTTCCCCTCCCCTATCTCACACACACAAATACACACACAAAAATCTGATTTTTTCAATCACGCACACAGGTCACACACACACACACACACACGGCCATAGACGGAGGCACTCCAGCCCAAAGCCACCGCCCGCCGTCTCCGACATCACCCATCGTCGCCTCACCATCGCCAGATACAGCCACCGCCGGCGGTCGCCGCCCGTACGCCAAACACCGCCATCGCCAGATTCAGCCACCATCGCCGCCAATCATCGTCCGATGCCCAGCTACCCACTGCCGAACACCAGACCGCCGGTTACATCGAAGATCCTGTCGCCTTCCACCGACAGTGCAGTCGCTACCACCATCGGAGGTCCACCCAACTACAGTAGGTCTCGCCGGAAAATAATAGCCGCCACGAGAAATTTCGTCGAGAAAGCCGCTTCCTTCAAGAAATCTCCTCGCCGGTGTTTAGAAGCCCCGCCTTCCAGAGAACTCTCGCCGATAACGTCGCCAGCAGCCACCACCTTACAGTGATGGTGCTATTAAGCGGCGGACCGCGGCGGCGCGACGCAACGGAGACGGCGGTCTGACGACGAGTGCGTGTTGTGTGCTGAAGGGAGATGGATGGTCGGGAAAGACAATGCTCACGACTGAGGAGTTAATTCCTTTAATTTTTTTTACTTTGAAAATGGATTTGGGGCAATTTTACGTGAATTAGATAAACTATAGGTGCCAAAATTGCAATTTAAAAAAACTTTAATTATAAATCAAATATAATTGCTTATTAATTTTATAATTTACTAAAAACATATTAAATATAGAATGTTGAAAAATATTTTTTAACAATATATGTATGGTTGTTCAATTTAAATTTCATGAATTTTAGTACTAGTATTTTATATTTTTTAATTGATATTTTATATTATTGTTTGATTAAAAAATTAGTGTACATGTAGAAATATTATATTGTGCTATATAATAGTTACTACGGTACAATTCGTCCAATAATATGTTGCACACTGTCGTTCTGTATTGTGCAGATTCAACCATCTGAACTTTTGTCCCAACATCAAGTTGAAAATGAACATAACCAATTGGGTTATTCGGTTCGGTTAACCGAATAATCCCAAATAATTAAAATAATTTTTTATTTATATCAACATTATATTTGATATGTTAAAATTTTATTTATAATATTTGTATTATTTTAGGTTGAAAATGTTCGAGTTCGGTCGATTTTGATTTCTATCGTGCAATCTGATAGCGTGTTAAAGTGCAACGTAATGTTTTGTAAAGTGCAACATGTTATTTTATACAGTGCAACGTGTTATTTAGAGCTCAATATAGTTTTTCCTGCCTTCTTAGTCTATTGTAATTTTAGTACGTTAACATGCTTGTGTTTTGTGTGGATAAATCATGTGATTGATGTTAAAGTATTATTTATATCACTTTTTTTGGAATTATATTGCGTGGTAATTTTGGCGGGTGTTGTGGACGTCAGCCGCCGAGTCTGGCGATAAAATGCAATGAGTTGTTTTATAAAGTGCAATGTATTATTTTATAAAGTGCATCGTATTGATCTATAAAGTGCACTACTTTGTATGATCACATATAAATTATTTGTTTTTTAAAACTAGAATTAATACATATAATTGTACACTGAATTAACCTAAATAATTGAAATAATTTATTACTTATTCTGGAATTATATTTATTATTTTAATACTTTATATAGTATAACAAATTATTGTTAATTACTATTAAAAAATTATAATTTTTTTTTTCCCGAAACGATAGAGAATTATATAAATCAAAACGCACAAGCGTGCAAATTACAACTTAGAGCCGCAGCCAAAAGCTGAATAAA